GGTGATGAAGGGCCTGGAGTGTTGCCTATACAAGGAAAGGCTGAGAGGCCTAGGGTGTCTTCAGTCTGGAGAAGAGAAGGCTGAGAGAGGATCTCGTAACTGTTTATAGATACCCAGACTGTGGGAGTAAAGCAGATAGGGACGTAGTCTTTTCAGTGGTGTGCAGCAATAGAATAAGGGGCAACAAGCAGAAAATGGAACACAGTTGCATGCAAACACAAGGAAGAGCTTCTTCACTGTTAAAGTGCCTGCACACTGCAGCAGGCTGCCCACAGAGGTCATGCAGTCTCCTTCTCTAGAGGCATTCAGGCCTGTCTGGATGCCTACCTGTGTGACTTGCTGTAGGGAACCTGCTTTAGTGGGGGATTGGACTTGATGAGCTCTAGAGCTCCCTTCCAAGCCCTGTGAGCAGCAGACCTTTGGTAGATCTCCTGCTGACACAGGAGTGCTGCCTCACTGTCCTGACTTTGTCTTAATTGAGCAGCGTTGTATTTAATAATTAAAAAAAAAAGTGCAGGGGCTTTTCTTGACCATTTCTAACGGTACATTGTTGGAACTTCTCCTGAAGCACAGAATTTCCTCTGCGCAGCCAGAGTCACAGACAGCAGTTAAAAAAATCAAGACATCGTGCTAGGGCAGGAGATCTTTTCATGTATTTTTTTACCCTGAGTATCTGCAGCTTTGCAGCTGGCAAGGAGCAGAAGTCGGAAAATGACGCCTGCGTCCCCTGGGTCCCACAGCCGGGGCTGAGTGCATTTAGCACTACCTGAACGTGAAAGAAGCAGACAAAGCTGTTGATGACTGCTGTGCCGTTTTCCCTTCATCCTTCGGAGCATCTGATCCTGCCCTCTTAGTGCCAGCCCTAACTTCTGTGGAAGTGTATTTCAGGGGCCACATTGTAACAAAGTAGACATTTTATTCAGTAACTCTTACAACAGTTTTGGTGGAAAAAGAGACAGAAAGATTACATCAAAATAACTTTTTAGATGAATGTGAGCTGATTGTAGAATAAATAATGTGGAGGGTAGAATAAAACGTTATCCTGAATCCTGGTTTGTGTTTCCTTTGTTTAGGATTAAAAGCTGCAGAAGTTTCCTCTCTACCACCATCCATAATTCTGGATGCAAAGGCAATCACAAACCATGTTGCTAAACAAATTTTGGTACGTAGCAGTCGTTTATAAATGTATACTACTGCAATTATCAGTTTTTGTAGAGCTCTGCTTTATTTTAAATATTTCTGAAAGATTATAGCATAAGACTGCATAGGCTTTTATGATGACAGATGTCATCAAGAAAGTAACATTTTGATTTGTGAAATTAATGGGTAAGAGATGTTTGCTACGGGCCTGTGGGGTTCAGGAGTGCTGGCTGTAATGTTGGTGTGCCAACCAAGAATCAGCAGGTCAGAAGTAGCGTGCAAAAAGCCTGTAGTGCTTCTGTTTTAATAATAGCAAGTTATTAATTTCCTGCTTAAAGTGTGCGTGTGCTTTTAAGAACAGCACAGACAGAAAACCACTCCGGAGATGATGAAGCACAGAGCTGTGTACCACCTGGCAATGAGGTTGGTTCAGACTGCTAGAAATTCGCGATTGGATTCGGAGAGTTTGCAAGTGTATTTGAAAGGCTTGAGGAGAAAGTATGCAGCCAGTTGTCCTGCGCCGGAACGGAGCGATGAGCAGCACTGACCCGTAACAGCACTGTTGAAAGAAGTTCTGGCTGCAAGATGACTTCATTAGTTTCCATAATATTTGAAAACACTGTTTTTCATGTATTTACAACTTAATTTTAGTTGAGATTATATCCATTAGTAAAAGAAACTGTTTCTTCTTTCACCAGAAAGGAGATCATTTACTTCCTATGTAAAACAGCTCTTTTCTTCTGGTAGTGAACATATTCCATCCCTTTCGTTGCTTTACAGACAAAATGTGGGTCGCTGATCGTTGGTGCGTCAGATGTGGTGTTACGCTGCTGAATAAAAAGCAGTCTGGAACAGATGGTCCACTTGTCTTACACAGGCGGGCTCCGTGTGCAGCGTTGGATATTCGTCCACAGACGCTGCTGTTTCCTACTCACAGAGGGCTCTGGCTCTCTACATCTCACGTTCAATCCAGCAGCAGGCAGTCCTGCAGAGGGGCAGCAGCCCACCTGTCAGGGGGTCCTGGGCCCTGTGGCGCGGCGCTCCTCTGCCTCTCCTGGGGCACCAGCTGTGCCGCTGCTGCTGTGTGCTGCAGGAGGTTTGCAGAGCGGTGCCACTGCAGGGGCAGCACGAGGGCTGGCGATGGGAGGAGCAGCGTTCGGCAGCAGCAGCTCTCCAGAAGTGATGCGTGTGTGTGCAGAGCTGCAGGGCTGTCCCTTCTCACTGCTCAGCAGAGCGGCGCTGCGCTGCCTGTGCTCTCTGGTCCTTCGGGCAGCAATGAGTGCCTGCAGTGAAGGAAGAAGCGGCGTCTCTTCTCCGGTCACTGCACTGAGTCTGCCTGTGCCTACATGCAGGAGTCTTACAGGGAGTAACACGTGCACAGAAACGTGGAAGCAGCCTCTTTTTTCTCTAAGCGCTCTGTTTCATGAATCCATGGTCTGTTCTTCCAGTAGTAGTGCAGGATCAGGTAGCAATGGCTTCATTTGCACTAAGCACTCGAGGTCTGGGGTGCCCGCTTGCAGCCCACAGCGTTCTTCCTCTGTTCGCTCTGCACCTCACTGCATTCTTGGCCCCAGTCGAGCCCTGCGAACGGACCGTCTCGGCTCCCTGCTGCCCCCGTGGCGCGCACTGGACTCAGCACAGTGACACGTGTTCACCCCAGCGCCGTGCGTGCTTGTGCTGCAGGGCAGGCTGGTGCTTCCTGCGGGCTGCAGTCTGGTTCTGGGGTGCTTCTCCACGTGCCGGGTGACATGAAACAGTCTGGAAATGGACTGCTGCCTTGGGGGAAAGAACGATGCTTTGTCTTGTGCCTCAACCCATGACTGTCCAGTCTTCTGGCTTGCCTGGACCATATTGAATGCACAGGAGTTGCCTTGGGCTGGATACATAATATGTATGAGCAACAGAACATTGTTAATGTATTTTTTAGCATTCCTTGATAGGCGTTGAATTTGGCAGCATGTTTCTGCATATAATGTCTTTTCAAGTTGTATTCTTTGAAAAACAACACGGCTTCCTTGCAAATTAAGCATAGTGCCGCAGTACCTGATCTCATACTCGATCTGGTGGTTGGAACCTGATCCAATCTGCCTGTGGCAGAGGGGTTGGAACTTGATCCTGAAGGTCCCTTCCAACCCAGGACATCCTGTGATTATTTGTCAGCACTGCTCTCTGCTCTCCTGGTGTCTTGGGGCCAGGCAGGCCAGGCTGCTCTGTGTGGCAGAGCTGCCACCGAGATGACATGGCAGCAGGGGGTGTGAGCCACAGCGCAAGCTGAGCTGGGCCACATGTGGCCTGCAGGTTGGCTGTGCATGACTTAGCCTTACGTGCAGCAATGGAAAACTCCATTTCCTGTGATGCTCCAGAACTCAGCTTTGCTGACCGACTGGCTGCTGTATTCCCGGAGGTCAGAGCAGCGCACACATCCACCCATACATCACTGTGTGTAACGGCACCAGAGTGCTCACGGAGGTTCTCAGTGCACCCTAGAGTGCCCTGGAGTGGCCCAGGGAGCTCAGAGATCGGTCTGGTATGGCCCTGAGTATGCCGAGGGCTACTTGGGCTACAGTGGAGTGCACGGAATAGCCTTTAGGGCACTCTAGAGGACACGGAGAAGTTTGGGGTGTATTGTAGGGTTGCCTTGCGTCCACTTCAACATCATTGGAAGCTGTAGAGCACACTAGGCAGACACAGACAAGCTTTGGGAGTCCATTTGTGTGCCTTAGAATACAACGGAGTCTTCTTTGTTAAGGCCTCCAAGAATGACATTCCTTTACCTGACTCACACTGTTTCATCCTGATCTGATTAGGTTAGGCTCATTTGATTTTTGCAAAGCACCTTTAATCACCTTGCAAGATCACCATCATTACAAATAGAATCACACATACATTTTCAGCAATCTGAGATTTATTTTTGGCTTTTTTTTTTTAATGCAAAAAAGGCATTTATAAAAAAACCTCATTAAAAATAACCAGAGGCTGAGACAATGTCAATACAGTCTTGTGCTTTCTGCTAACGTGCCTTCACTCTATTACCGTTAAATTTGCCTGGTGTAGTTGGAATTTGGTGCATGACTATTTAAATAAATGCAACTGACGCTAATAAAAAAAATGCAACATAACTTCGGTCATTGTTTCCACATACATTCATAAGCAATTAACACAGGCTTCCTGGCTTTGCAGATTTTTTCCTTTCTTGTTTTCTTCCCTCTTCCAACTTTGCGTTCACCTGAAGTCAAAAGAATGAAGCAACAGCGCCGAGCCCCGTCAGCCCGATCGCCGAAGCCGTTTCCTGGGTCTCTGCTGCCACCGCGTGGCCAAAGCGCGCGACTGCACCGAGGGCGGACGACTCTCGGGGATCGGCGGGGGAGGCGGCTTTCTGGAACGGTGAGGATCAGAGCAGCTCTGGGAGCACACCGGGCGAGTCCTTCCTCTAATCGTGCTGCGCCGTCAATCCGCCAACGCCCGTCATTATAGGGAGTCCCAAAATGCCGATAGCGGGACCGGTGCACGCACAGGGCCGTGTCGGGGCTGGCACGTGGTACTACCGGGTCCACAATGCCACGCGCGTAGTGCAGCGCAGCACTGGCGCATGCGTAGTTCTCGTTCTCTCTCATTCTCTCAGGAATGGCGCATGCGTACTACTAGAGCTTGCAATTGCGCATGCGATTACTGCCTCTGGAATCGCGCATGCGTTCAACTTCCCCTGCAGTGGTGCATGCGTAATGCTGGACCGGCGCACGTAGGACCTGGCACATGCGCAGTGCTAGCCCCGGGATGGCGCATGCGCAGTGAACCATCAAGCATGGCACATGCGTACTAGTCTCCAGAATTACGCATGCGTAGTGCTGTGTCGAGACTGGCGCATGCGTAGAACTCCGTGCGGACGCTGCGTTGTGGCCGCCGTCATGGCGCTGGTGTCGGCGGACTCGCGCATCGCCGAGCTGCTGGCCGAGCTGCAGCGGCTGCTGGGGCACACGCAGGTGTGGAGGCGCGGGCGCACGGAGGGTCTGAGCCGCTTTGCTGCCTCCCGCGAAGTGTCCGCCTGGCTCCGGGGGCGGGCTGAGGCTCTGGCCGTTTGGGTTTGCGTTTCGTCGCGTGGCTTTAGGGCTGCGCTGATGGGTGCGGGGCCGGCGCTGCGGACGCGGAGGCGGAGTCGCGGAGCGGGAGTTTGCGCTGTGGATGCGGTGACTGGGGGGGGCGGGCGCCGGGCTGGGGGTCCGGGCGTGGGGGCTGTGCGGGCAGCCCCCGCCGCCAGCCTGCCGCCTTACAGGAGGAGCGCTCCCGCAGCGAGCACAACCTGATCAACATCCAGAAAACGCACGAGAGGATGCAGACCGAGAACAAGAGTGAGAGCGGCGCGGGGCGGAGCGGGTGGCGCCGGGAACCGGAAGGGCGCTGCGGGGCGGGGCTGCGAGGAGAGGCGGGCTTCTGGGGAGGGAGCGGGGTGATGCGGAGAGGGCGGGGCCGTGGGAAGGGGGCGGGGTTGGGTGAAAGGAGCGCGGCCGCGGCAGCGCGGCTCAGGCCGTTCTTACGTTCCCCTCCAGTCTCGCCGTACTACCGCACCAAGCTGCGCGGGCTGTACACCACCGCCAAGGCGGACGCTGAGGCTGAGTGCAAGTAGGGCAGCCCCGCATCCCCACATCCCTACACCCCCACACCCCGCACCCCAACATCCCTACGCGCTGCCCCGTGCCCCCCATGAGTGGCAGCTGCCCTGATGGCCCTCTGCAGCATCCTTCGCAAGGCGCTGGACAAGATTGCCGAGATCAAGTCCCTGCTGGAGGAGCGCCGCATCGGTACGAGCCTCCGTTGTGCGGCTGTGTCCCGGACCCCGTGTGTCCCTGGCCCCTGCTCGTCCTGTACATTCCCTGTGCGCAGCCAACCCAAACTTTCTCTGTGTGTCTCCCCAAACTCTGCTTGTTTTCACCCTAATTCTCCCCGCACATATTCAGATCCTTTTGTATTTTTTCTGTATTACTTCGCATTTTAAAAGTTCCTGTATGCACCTCCTGATACTATGGTATTTTGTATTACTTTTTTTTTTCCTATTTTTGAGTTAGTTGAAACCCCCAAATTCCCTCAAACTGTTCCTGCTCTTCCAAACTCTGCTAAATTCCCCCAAATGTCCCTAGGCGCTGCAGTTCCTTCCCACATCTGTTGTGTGTGTTTCTGTTTTTCTTTCTTTCCCCCAGCTTTTCCAATGTGAGCTCGGACCCCAGTTTTCTCAGCTTTCACCCCAAATTCCTCTCAAATTCTCTTAGTATGTTCTGTTGCATCCTGTCACACCACGCTCTGTTTTTCTGTTTTTACGCCCCAAATCCCTGGCATTGCTCCCAAATCTTCCCCTGCACACCCCACCCCCTCCCCAACTGACCCCCAGTCTTGGTGTCACCGTGTCCCCCCACTGTGCCACAGCCGCCAAGATTGCAGGGATCTACAGCGACGCAGAGCCGCCGCGCAAGACGATGCGCCGGGGCGTGCTGATGACACTGCTGCAGCAGTCGGCCATGACGCTGCCGCTCTGGATCGGCAAGCCAGGCGACAAGTAGGTCCTCCCCGACCCCACAGTGCACCCCTCCCCACAGGTTGCCCTGAACTCCCAGACCCACACCGCACCCCGCCCTCCACTGTGCCCTGAGCCCCCAGTTGCACACCACATCCTAACCCCATCCGCTGCTTCTGGACCCCGACTCCAAAGCATAGCCCTAACCCTACACGTGACATCCAGACGCAGCAAATCCCACCCCCTGCCCTACACCATAGGCCTCCAGCTGCCTCCAGCCCCATCCTGGGAAACTCAACCTGCCCAGACCCCACTCTGACCATGCCCTTGCCCTCTCTCCCCTTGCACCCCATCAAACCCCAAGTCAAGGTCTGTTCCCTGACCCCTGTCCTGGATTGCCAGCTCCCCCCTGACTGCACTGCAGAACCCCAAATCCCATCCCAGCTTCACCCCTCCCCCTAACTCCCACCTGCCAACCCGCAACCCCCAACCCCAGGCCGCCCCCGCTGTGCGGTGCCATGCCGGCAGCCGGGGACTACGTGGCCAAGCCTGGGGACAAAGTGGCGGCACGCGTCAAGGCGGTGGATGGCGACGAGCAGTGGATCCTGGCTGAGGTGGTCAGCTACAGCCATGCTGCCAACAAGTGTGTGGAGGGGGCGAGGGGGTGGGAGGTGGGGAGGGAAAGGGGCAGGGTTGTGGGGGGTGGTGGAAAGGGGTGAGGAGGCGGTTTGGGCATTCTGGGGGGGGAATGGGGCATGGCGTGGGGCAGTGTTGGGGCATTTGGGGGCACTGCAGCCACTGCTCCTTGTAGGGCTGTGGGGTGCTCTGGGGTCACAGCACTTCCCCACATTTTGCTGTGGTTTAATCCTTTTTCCTTTTTTCTTTCCCCCTTCCCAGGTATGAGGTGGACGACATCGATGAGGAGGGCAAAGAGTGAGCACCCCCACCCCTCAACTGTACCCCCAGCCCCACAAACTGCCCCCACATCCTCGCAGCCCCCACCCCCCTCCCAAAACCCTCCCCTATTCCTCCAACTCCCTCATCACTCCCTAACTCTCCCCAGCTCCCCCCAAACTCCCACCTCAAACCCCTCAAAACAACCCAACTCCCCACAAACCCCCTTCCCACGCCCCCATGCTCCCAGCTCCCCACAAACCTCTTCTAGTTCTTACCAAACCTTCCCAAATCCTCTCCACACACCTCCCCAAAGCCCTCTAGCTCTCCCAAACTCCCTCTGCACAACCACCATACCACAAAACTCTCCTCAGACCCCCAAACCTGCTCTCCAGACCCCTCATCCGCCCCCAACCCTCACTCATTGCTCCTCCCCACCATCCCGCAGGAGGCACACGCTCAGCCGGCGCCGCGTGATCCCTCTGCCACAGTGGAAGGCAAACCCTGAGACCGACCCTGAAGCGCTGTTCCAGCGTGAGCAGCTGGTGCTGGCGCTGTACCCGCAGACCACCTGCTTCTACCGCGCCCTCATCCACGCACCGCCGCAGCGGGTACGGCCCCAGTGTGCCCTGCAGATCGGCCCTGCCCTGGGCCCAGCACTCGCTCATTACTGCTGCTGTTTTTCACCCCACACGTGCAGCCACAGGACGACTACTCAGTGTTGTTCGAGGACACGTCGTATGCTGACGGTTACTCGCCGCCACTGAACGTGGCGCAGCGCTACGTTGTCGCCTGCAAGGAGACCAAGAAGAAGTGACCCTCGCAGTTTGGGGTACTTTGGGGATTTGGGGCCATTCTGGGGATTTTTGGCGGTCTGTGGGTCTGTGAGGGTTATGTCGAGTTCAGATGCTATAGGTTGTGCTGTTTTTGGTGTGAATTTGGGGCGTTTTGGGTATTTGCTGTCATGGGTGAGGGGTTGTATGGACCCCATAGTGGCACTACGAGGGCCCTAAAATCACAACATTCCACCCCAAAACACACCCCATAGTGCTGTAAAGGACCAAGAACTCACCCCGTTGTGCCCCACAGCAATCCACAAGGAACCCAAACTCACTGCATAGGCCCCAAAGTGTCCACCATGAACCCAAACTCACCCTAATGGGCCCCAGAGTGAACCATAGGGATCCCAGGGACGCTGGACCCACCCCATAGGGCCTCAGAGTGAGCTTCAGACCCCTAAAGTGTCCATCAGGGACCCCAGACCCACCACTAAGGACCACAGAGTGACCCACAGGACCCCAGACACACTCTACATGAGTCCATAGCATCCCTCAAGGATCCCCCTTGGCCTGCAGGACCTGGAAATGTTCACTGGAAGATTGCAACGTCCCTCTAGTTGACCCCAAAACACCACGAAGAGCTCAAAGCGACCGACCCTGTGGGCCCCAAAGTGACCTTAATGACCTCAGATCCATCCGAACGGCCCTCATCCGTCCCCAGGACCCCATTCCCTTCCAGGATCCAAAAGAATGATGCTGGGAGCGGTTCCACCTGTTGCTTTATTGTGAATAAATTAAGTTAGAAAGCCGCTGAGGGGGAGGTGGCTTCACTCCGGTTCCGCCCGCTGGCCCTGCAGCAGCTCATCCGTCCAATGGCCCTGTGGGAGCAGAGGTCAGCGGGTGGGCTCAAAGACGGGATGGCGTGCTCAGGGCAGCGGGGCTGCGGTCAGAGGCCGGTGGGAGGGACTTACCAAGGTAGGGTCTCCTAGCGCTGCCCACTCATCGTCGCCATCCCCGCAGCCAATCAGCTCTCCCCACAGCACCTCCTGCTGGCAGCTGGGGGTGGGGCTTAGCGCTGATCACACTCAATTGGCCCCGCCTTCCCTAAGCCCCACCCACTCACCTGGGGCAGGTCCCACCCAGCGGCAGCAGTTCCTTCGGCTCCGCCCCCAGGAAGTGTGGGGCAAGGCAGCGGGCGTGGCAGCGGGCGGGGCAGGGGGGGCGGGGACAGCGGAGAGTGCGGCCCTGGGGGTGGAGCCGCATCGAGGAGGCGGGGTCACACCAGGCCACGCCCCTTTGTAATGCACCGCTTCAGAATTCCTCTGAGTGTCCCAAATGGAGTTGAAAGGCCCAGGAACTCGGCAGGATGACCCTGAAGCAACCATGGGGACCCAGACCCGCCCCCCCCGGGACACCAGGTCCATCCCATGGGCACCAGGCTGACCCTTGACATCCCCGCGGGGCCTCAGAACCCCAGTGTAGAGGCCGGTCATCAAAAATAATGACTGCGCAATATCGCACCTGGACCTCAGAGCCCATAGCGTGACCCCAAATCACCTGTTTCAAAGCCCCCCGACCCCTCGGAATGACCTCAATGTGCCACAGGGGCCCTGAGCGCCACAGACGTGCCTCACAGCAGAGCAGCGTGACACAGGGGAGACCCCAAAATACCGCATAACGAACCGCTATTTCCTTCGACCGACCCCCAAAATGCCTCCAAACGACCCCAGAGATTCCAAGCCCCCAGCCTTACCTCGCAGGGCTCCAAACACAGCGTGCACGCAGGGGGCGTGGCCAAAGTGGTCGCGGGCCGCTTCCTGGGGCGTGGCTTTGGCCCTCCCGGGTCCATTTCCATAACGACGTGGGGGGGCGGGGCCGGGTGGAGGGCGGGGCCTGGTTGAGGGCGGAGCCAGCGCAGGCGCAGTGGGAGGCGGCGCCAGGGCGGGGCCCAGAGCAGGCGGGGCAGCATACGAAGAGCGAAAGCGATTGGCTGCTCACCGGGAAGGGGGCGGGGCTTAGCATCGTGGAGGCGGCGGGAAGCGGCGGGGTGCTGCCACGCCCACTCGAACTGCACGGAAGGCGCGGCTCAACGAAACAGCGCGGGAGCGCAGGCAGCGCGATGGGGGAGGAGCGGGGCTCAGGGGAGGTGGGACAGCGCTGGTTGGGCGGGGCTAAGGGAGAGGGGCTTGTGGCGCAGCAGATGGGGCTCAGATAACGCGCGGCGCATAGAAAGAGATCCGCCTAATGTGCGAACGGGACCGGGGGAGCAGCGGGGCTTCTCGAGAGCGAGGCGCTGCTCGGAGGTCTGTGGGGGTGTGGCCGAAGGGGGACGTGTCCTACCCGGAGCGCCGCTACGTCGGACGGAAAGCCGTGCACGTAGAGCTCCATCCGCCTGCGGGGAGAGAGCGGCCCTGACGTGACGCCCGCCACCCCCCGAATCGCCCGCACTTCCGGCCCTGGACCCCCGCCTTTCGGTTACCCACCACGGCCCGCGGCCGCTCGTGCGCCGCGCCCCACCCTTCTGTCGCCCCGCGTTGTGCTGCCGCAGTCGCCGCCAAGGGTCGTGCGTGAATCCTACATAGGTGCGGGGCCGGCCGCGGGGGCCGGGGGCGCTCAGGAGGTACACAGCACGCAGCGGCATGGCACGAGAGAGAGCGGCAAATCCGGCGCCGCGGCCCAACCGATTTCCGGTCCCCACGCACTCTCTTCCGCTCTATTCCATTCACCTCTGCTCCCGTCCAATTGCTTTCTTGTTAATTTACACAATTCCGGTCCTGTCCTGTTACTTCCCTGACGGTGCACTTCCGCCACGCTACCCATAATCCCTCGCAGCCCACGGAAGTGCTCGTCCCGGAAATTCCCTCCTGCTCCCGTTCTCATGACTGGTGCCTTGCTAATGCGGCGCTTCCGCCTCGCTACCCACAAAACTCCAGGGCTGCTGAGATGTTCCTCCCCATTTATCCCGCCTCTTCCGACTCTGCTCCGGTCTCCGATTGGTCAAGTGGCCCCGGATGGGCGGAAGCGGTGCCATAGTTGAGCCGGAGCGGGGAAGTCGGCGGGGAGCGGGGTCCTGAATATGTCGCACATTCGGATGGGATGCGACTCCAAATCGCTCCCTTTAGCCGGGCCCCAAGCACTAAGTCCACCCTCCCGCCCCACATCTCTCCTGAATCCCAGACCTAAATCCGGCGATGGTTGTGGGTTCAGAATCCGGATGTGGGGTGTAGGTTTGTGATGTGGATCCCGGATTCCTGTTGTGAGGCTCGGGGTATGGGGTCTAGATGTGGGGTTTGGGACCTGGATTTGGGCTCTGAGGGAAGGTTTGCGGATGAGATGTGGGACTTGGGACTAGGTGGGGGGCAGATATGTGTGGGGTCGGGGCTGAGGTTTGCCCCGAAATAGCGTGGGGAGGGTCGGAGCATCTAATGGGGGGAGGTCCGGGCGACTCCGTGTGCCTCACTCCCCCCGCCCCCCATCAGCTCTGCGCTCTCGAAGCCCCGCCCCTTCACTGTTCCCCCCTCCCCAGACCCCCCCTGCGCTGGCGGTTCCCGCAATGCGCCCAATTAATATGGCCCCAATTAGTACATGCCCCAGTTTATACATCCCCGCTCATCCTCACCGATGAATTCCCCCCATTACTCCCCATTAAATCTTCATCCGTGCCCCGCTGAATAAACACCCAATTCATCGCCCGTTTATCCCCATTAATACCTTATTAACCCTCCTTGTTCCCCATTATTTTCTCTATAATTATTCCTCCTAAAAACTCTTCCACTAATTAACCCTGCACTCGTTATGTACCTATTAATACTCTCTTAATTACTGCTCCCCATCACTCCCCCACTAAAGGGTGTGTAATTAATGAGTTACTTCATTACTACCCCCCCTTAGTGACCCCACTCACCTCCCCTTGAGTTCCTGCACTGATGACCACCTATCCCCCCCCACTAATGAGCGCCTAATTATCTTGCTGCTAATTACCCAGACCAGAGCTCACCCCACAACACACCACAGTTACTTCACCAGTAGTGGAGGGGGGGTGGGCAGCAGCTTCACCTCTATCATTAATGATCTAATTAATTGCTGCTCTTCATGACAACCAACAAATTGTGCCCCTCCCATCATGATAGGAACCATAGGGATACCACCATTGAGACTCCCCCTAGGGACTGCCACATAGGGACCCCCATAGAACCCCCAGAATGCACCCATAGCAGTGTGCAGAGCAGGGGGCATGCAGGGACATCCATAACAGGACCCATAGCAGCCTGTAGGGATACACAGTGATACCCATAGCTCCCTGTAGGGATACATAGCAAGACCCAGAACAAGACCAGTAGAGACCAAGGAACCTCATAGTGCTCCCTAGAGACCCATAGCAAGACCCAGAGCACCCCACAGAGCCCCATCTGTTACCCTCAGCCTCCCTACCTGAATGTAGGGTGGGGGTTACACTGCAGCAGTCAGCATCACTGCATCCCCCCATGAGGTCCCAGGAGGCAGTGGAAGAGGTGGGGGTGCTGTGGGGGGAGGTACAGCCCTGGAGAGGTGGGCCTCATGCCCCTAAGTGAGGTAGAGTGACCCCAAGGTCACTCTAGGTCCCAACTCAGCCCCCCCAGCCCCATAGAATCCTTCCCACTCCAACAGAATCCTCCACACCTCCCCTACTCTACACCTGCTCCAGGCCCTGCTGCAGCTCCAGTTCCTGCTCTTCCTCCCTCTCATCACACTCAGCTCTATGCTCCTGTGTGGGAGGGACAGTGATCCCCAGCTCCACAGCTAAGGTCAGCACTAAGCCCTCTTCACTGCCCCACAAAACTGCTTCACAGGGTGGGAGTGAACACCATGAGAAGCAGTAGGGCTCAGTGCACGGACACGGGACAGCCAGGCCAGGCCGTGGGGCAGGAGAATGAAAGCAGTGAGCACCGGGTGGTAGGGGTGGCACCATCTAGATGTGGAACAGAATTGGGGGGAAGGGCAGCGGGGGGGGGGGGGGTAATTGTGGGGCAGGGGTGGGAGATCTGATCAGTGGGGCTAGGAGCCATGGGGGAGGTTAATGAGAGAGGTCCATGAGATCAGCAAGGCAGGGGGCTGTGGGGCAGCAGGGATAGAGAGCATTGGGGGGCTTTATCTGGTAGTGGCGCTGCAGCTCTGCACTGTGGGTCTGTCCTGAGGTAAAGTTAAGGTACAGGATGGAGACCTCCTGCCTGGAGAGATGAGGGGTCCATGTGGGGCGCAGGTGTATTCCCATTCTAGGGTTCTCTTTGGGGGTTGTGAGGCATAGAGGAGTCCTGGGGTGTTCCTCCACCTGACTTGGTGGCCACCACCTCCACACTGTAGCACAAAGGGACACTCATGTCACCGTGTTGTCATCCAGCACCTCTGGTGCTCCACTGGGGCTGTGAGGACAGATGGCCAGGTCACATCCAGCATCACCCCAACACTGTCACCCCAGCATACTCCCTGGTGTCATCCCCCACTGATAGCCCAATGCCACTTCCCAGCAGCACCCCAGTATCACCACTCTAGAACCCCCTCAGTATCACCCCATCCATGTCGCCCCCCGCGATAGCCCAACATCACTGCCCAACAACGTCACCCCCACACATCACCCCCGCATCACACCAGCAATGTCATCCCAGCTTCACTTCCTGAATCAACCCATGACCCCGCAGTGTCAAGCCCACGTCATCCCCCCAAAATTTTCTCCCCAGCGTCACTGCAGTATTACCCCCCAAAATCATCCCAGTGTCATTCTTTGATGTTAAACCCCAGAGCTACCCCAACATCTGCACACTGTCACCTAACC